GAACAGGTGTGCGCCGCATACATCTTACCGATGAGAGCGCCCAGACGGCTCTTCACTTTTGGTTCTTCTGCGAAATCTTCTACACACTGTCGACATGTATGCTCAAGATCTCCGTCGGTTTCTTCTTGCTACGCATCACCATTGTCCCACTTCACATCTGGATCATCCGTCTCATCATGGTCGTGTCTGGAATCGTGGGAATCGCATACACGTCCGTTGTCATCTTCCAGTGCAAGCCCATCTCATATTGGTGGGATCTCAATCCGAACGCTGTCGGCTCCTGCCTCTCTCCAGTACTGGTCATGAACTTTACCTTTGTCGTCTCTGGACTCAACGCCTTTGCCGACTGGGTCTTTGCCATTCTTCCAGTACTTATCGTCCAGGGTCTGCACATGAAGAAGCGCATGAAGGTGGTTGTAGCCTCGGTCATTGCACTGGCGGCCATGTAAGTAGCACTTGGATCATCTTCTTTCACTCAATAGCCGCCTGACATGCATAAACAGTGGTTCTACAGCGACCATTATTCGCTTGCCGTACACGACAACGATCAAGGGATACAAAGGCGAATTCCTCTTCCGGACGACTGACTTTGCAATTTGGAGCACTGTCGAAGTAGGCCTTGGTATATCAGCTGGATCAATTGCGACACTGCGACCACTATTGAAGCAGGCGTTTGAAATTACCCGATCGGCCTCAGCCATGCCGTGGAGCAAGCCTTCACTCAAATCAGGACAAGAACACTCTGGCCATCAGCTCAGTGCGATCAAGCCTTCGATTCAAAAGTCCATTACCATTACCACATCGCGGGCACGGCGAGAAAGCAAAGAGTCGGACGAGGAAAGATTCCTTGGCTCGAGCATGCCGTCAGAAGCATGGCAGCAGCAACAAGGACTGCCGGGATACATTACATCTACCGTTCTGGATGAGCAAGCTGCGCGAGCTTCAATGGATAGGAGTCGGAAGCATGGGCAACAACAAAATCGGAGAGGCAGTCCTGGGGGCACCAGCCAGTCGACTGTCGAGAGCAAAGAGTCTGGGAAAGCACCAAAGGCTCGTGTACACGAGCGTTTTTAGTTGGAGGCCTTGTATAATCTTAATCCGTGGGTCGAACATTCACCATTGTCATTCTCAAACCTCGCCCCTTTTTGAACTACTGCAAGCCTCTGACACGCGCTCTCCCTCTTCTTCCACTTGGCCGAGAATACGATATGAGACGTATTTGTGCTTCACTTTTCTTTTGTTCCTGGAGGATACTCGTACTAAAAGACGGCGACAATGTTTGTGGCCAATGGTTGAGGATGGGTAAAGTATCGGCAATAGGCTCGCCTATTGCCTGATCGACTCCCGACTGCCGTGATGTTAACGAATCCGCATAGGACTTGTCCGCTTCATTGCAGATTGTAGCTAGTGCAGGGACAAGACTGGCTACACTAGTCAAGCCAGCGTTCGCGCATGGTCTGAGTCAGCAGTTGGATAATGGTTGTTATGCTACGTCAAGGCAACAACACTCGCAGAAAGGTATGGCATGCGGGTGGGCGCCATGTGGATCGTCTTGCCGGACGAGACGGCGTTTGACTCGAACATGTGGAGATATGGACACAACTTGAGCACCTCGTCTCGACATTTCATGTATTCACGTTGGCCAAGTGTCTGGGGTGCGCGTAATGCCGCAAGTGCCCGAGTGGCGGATATTGGTCTGGAGCTGAGCGGGTGTGGGTGCGTACATAGTACGTAGTTTGTGTGGAGAGGATAGCTATTTAGCGCGAGTGAAGCGCAGCTGGCCAGTGCATGATTATGGAGAAAAGGAAATAGAGAAAAAAAAAGAGTGTCGGAAAGAGCGGGAAGTGGGTATGCTTGATAGAAGAAAAAGCTATGGCCTGATCGTCTTCATCAGCCATGGTCTGCATTCGGATCATCTTCGTGTCCATTGGCTCAATTTGGCGCATTTAGACCACTGCAAATCCTCGTCAAGCATTCCATGCGTTGGATAAAAAAAAATCCAGACTCTGGCTCGACAGGCTACGTCCATGCAACATGTGTCCAGGTACAAGGGCTGAGTAAAACCCCTCGGTCCACATGGATTGCCAAGAAGGCCAGTGAGTTCTCGGAACCTCGGAAAAAACGCGGGGGAGCAGATGCGCCAGGCCACATGTTTGTGTGTCAAAGTACCCTAATAACCAGAATAAGCAAGGATGGGTGTGATGTACTTTGTACCATGTCCTTGGTAGATTATTGTTCGTATATATATAGTCGAATTAAACTCCACGCTGCCCTAGTGTTTACATGTGTATTTCGTGTTGCTGTCAAATCCAAAATGACGCAATATTCAAGAAAGAGAAAAATATACCATTACCAAAGAATGTCGGCAAAAGCTGTTCGGAGTACTTCGGTGCGCGTCTTTTGCATTTCGGGGGCAATGCCGACCAGGTCTAATATTTCAAGACATTTTCGCGCATCAGCCTTTGCATCTTTCAGCAGGGGATCTGACGAAGGAGGCAAGCCTGATTGGGTTGGCGAAAGGGGTTGGGCTTGTTGGCCCAGAATACGAGCCATGAGAAGCTAAGCGTCATAGTGAGTAACCAAGTGGAGCAGAGGAAAATGGATAACGGGTACAATACGTACCGCTTCCTCGAAAGCGCGGTGCTGGAACACCCACCAGACACTTGCGTCGATTCTGAGATATTCCCAAAAGTGGAAGAAGGACTGCAGAGCCATTCTGGCAGCGTCGAGGGCACCCTTGACGTCACACGATACACCCTTGGCGGGGTTCTCGTCCGCTTGGATAGCCATGACGCAGTGCCAAAAATTGCTCCGGAAAAAGAGATTTTGCCTCAGACCTCTCGGGTTTTGTTCGGCCATGGCTCGTATGGTAGCATCGTCGGATGCTGTGAGCTCGATGGGAAATGTGCTGTGCAGGGCAAAGTATTCGCTGACCAGCTCCGTCTTTTGGGCGACGGACGTGGTAAGGGGGGTTGCTAGAGAGCGTGGAATGCAGACGGTGCGTGAGACGAGAATGGCCATGTGCCACATTGAGCGGATGTATCGTCGGTCTGAGAGCTCATAGGGAGGATAGAGGTCGAGGTTGGAAGCAATGTTGCTGATGCTCATGGGATTGATGACGGCATCGGTGGCACCGTTGGCTGACGAGGCATTTGGGATGTAGTCGTCCAGGTCATCGCTCAACGACTGGGGCTGTATGTCTGAAAAGACGGTGGTTGGTGGGAGCTTGAGGAGGACGGTGAGGAAGGTGTCTTGAAAGAAGATGGCCTGCCATAGCTTGCGGCGCTGTTGCTTGTCACTTCGAGAGCAACGAGGGGCAATGATGTCCGGGTCACGGTGGAGGCCCATGGCATAGGCTTGTCGTACCAGGACACCACCAAAGGCCCATGCGTCTGAAGCATGGTTGTCGTTCATCAAGAAGTAGCCTATCAGGACCATGGCCTGCAGCGTCCTGACCGAGGCACGGCTGAGATACGAGGATATGCGCAGGGCCTGTTGAGCGGCTGAGATGTAGAACTCTGCAATCTGGGCGCGCTCACGGTTGTCCGTCGTGTGGATGAACTGGGTGCCCATGGCATAGACGACAAAGTGAAGGGCGACGAGGACAGGGTCGGCGGCATGCTTGTCGTCGAGGGGCAGGGACCAGAAGCGTTCATAGTCGGCATAGAAGTTCCTGCGGTGGACCATGGGATAGACGGGGTCGACGGCATCAAAGTACTTGTCGACGAGGATGTCGGCCTGCTCCTTTGCGGGCAGGACGCCGACGACCTCTGCCAGGCCACCGCGGCTGGTCCAGTAGTTGGCAAAGGGATGCTCTGAGCCGAGGCCGAAGAAGGGGGCGGGCGTGTGGTTAGAGTAGGGGATGTTTGAGAGCAAAAAAGGCGACGAGCCGGTTGAGGACAAGGACACGCTGCGATACTGGGTGCGGAGGGGCGTCGGGGGCACCTGGATGGACTTGGCATGGGGATGCGGGTCGTTGCCAAGTCGCAGTGCCTGTTTGGCCGCCGTTTTCCTGGAGCGAGGCGTGGCATGTTGGGCGGCGCCGACTCTGCGCAGATGGTTAGCAGGCGTGAGGCGGGCAAGTCGACGGGCACATACATACTTGTCGGCAGACGAGGCAATCAGGTTGGCGATGTCTGAGTAGCGGCAGGGCGACTGGCGTTTGATGCAGGCCAAGCAATGGGGTCTGGTGCGGTCGCACTGCGCGTCGCGTCAGCCGGCGGATGGGTGAGCGTGGTCATGACGACGGATGGAAGCGGGAGAGTGGGAAGGTGGGAAGGTGGGAAGGTGGGAATGTGGGCGTGTGGAGGTGGAGGTGGAGGTGGAGGTGGAGGTGGTCTGTTTGCACCGTCCGTGGGGAGGCGAGGGGGGCGAGTTGCGCCGAAGAGACGGCCGTGGTTGTCTTGGGCTCACCTTTGTCTTGCGCTCGACGCACTCTTCGCAGCTCAGCGTGGGCTTGTTGCGCTTCTGCTTTTTCCTGGCCGGCGCATGGCCGTGGGCGGCAGACGGCGCGGCCGGGCTGGTTGACGAGGGCTGCGAGGTGGGCGTGGTGGTGATGGTGGCGTCGTGGTTGTCGTCGTCGTCGTCGTCGTCGCGCTTCATTGTACGGCACCGACGGCGTGGCCCGCTCTCGGGCTCCAAGCAGCTGGCAGAGCGACGCGGGCGTGGATGTCGGAGGCGTGTCTGAGTGGGCGGCGAGGCGCACGGGAATAAGATAGGGCTGGCGGGTGTGGTTGTTCCCACGAGTGTGTGTTCGCCCTTTGCCCCCCAGCGATGCCAGCGGCCACGACACGACGGCTGGCACGCCCCGTTGGTGGTGGAGACTCGGGGCCAGCCACGCGCTTGGCGGGCCTGAACATGCATCCTCGTGCACACCACTCCTCTGCTCGCTGTTGCTGCTGCGCACTCACTACCATTGCATACTACTACATACAGCCATCATCATCATCATCATCGTCGTCGTCGTCGTCGTCGTCCTCGCCGTCGCCGTCATCGCCTCCTCACGTGTACTGCCGCATCGCATCCCGGTACCCCTTCCCCCCTCGCATATCATCGTCAAATGCCTGCCCAGCCTCCAGCACCCGCCTGACGTGCTCCATGCTAAACGCGCTCTGCTCGGCCACTGCAATCGCCTGCGATGTCTTGACCGTGTTCTTGATCTGCCCAACAAACAGTTAATACCCATCGCCCGCGCTGACCATGGCGCGCCCCTCACTCGACGTACCTGTCGCCCATTCAGCACCCTCTGGCTCAGCACGTCAAAGTCGGCCTCGCTAAACGCCTTCATTCCCTGGCTCCCCTTCATCCTCTGCACCCTGCCCACGTGCTGCTGCCAGATGTCCCGCCTGGCCCGTGCAGACAGCTCTTCATACCGAATCCCCATGTGAATCCTCGACTGGAACGCCTCGTCAAAGGTCTCGACCCGGTTCGTCGTCAGGAACAGGATGCCCTGGTAGTACTCGGTCAGCCGCAGGAACACCGACACCAGCGAGTTGCGATGTAGGTCATTCGGCTGCCGCGCCTCGAGAAACACGTCCGCCTCGTCCAGCAGTAGGATGGCGCCCCACGCATGCGTAATCTCCATGATGCGGTTCAGATCCGCCTCCAACGCCCGGCTGTTGGTCCCCAGCTCCCCTGCAGACACTGCGTACAAAGGGCACTGCAGATACTCAGCAATCGATTCACCCGTCAGTGTCTTACCCACCCCGGGCGGGCCATGCAGCACCACATTGAGCCCCTTGCCCTTGCCCTGGATCACATCGTCAATCGTCTTGGCCGCGTGGAACCGATGCGAAGACACCAGGCCCTTGAGATTCTGCTTGATCTGGCTCGGCAGCACCAGACTGGAAAATGCTTCCTCGTTCCACTTGATCTCCTCAATCCCAGATAGAGAAAATTCGAGCCAAAGCTTCTCGGAAAAGGCAAACCCCAGCACGACCGGCGACGCAATGATGAGCTCCTCTTCAGTCAGCACTTGACGCTGCTCCTCCTTCGTATCGTCGTCCCTGTCAAGCGGCTGTTCCGTACCCGTGCCCATTTCCTTGTCCACAACGCTCTGTGGTACTCGGATAGCATGTTTCCTGCCCCTCCTGTCCTTCCACATGACGGTGCGCATCCTTTCCTTTTTTTCGCCGTCTTCATCTTCACTCGAGTTGCAGCAGCACTCTTCGTCGTCATCATTGTCCTCATTGTCAGCTAGCTCGTCTGGCCGGAGGTATGAGAGCGGGTAGTTTGGGTTCATGCGGCGGAACATGGCAGGATCAATCATGACCCGACCATTAACAATGAAGCGCACGATGCTGTTCTTGTGCTTCATATATGCAATCCCCTTTTGCACTCGGTAATTCATGCCCTGGAGCGCGACAAATTTCTTGCCCCGCTCAACCAGCTGCTTCTTGATACCCTGCCCGCCTCTGTCAGCACTCATTCATCCCAGCCCCAAACTGTCCATCCAACATACCTTGGCATCCTTGTGATACTTGAGCGGATATGCGGCAAGACCGGTAATCTTCTTGTGCCCCTTGAACGCCTGAATCGATACCTCGTGTTCCCCAAGACCAAACGATTTGCCGTCATACTCGAGGTACTTGCCATCAACACACCACGACTTGATGCCCGTCAGCCAGTTTTCCGTCTCGTACGCTGTCCCCACCCTGAAACACCGCGCATCGTCCTTGTTGTTATACGTAGGCGTAAACGCAATGGTGTTGGGCTTGAAGAGCGCCCATACCAGATCGTACGTAATAGTGCCTGCTTTGACCATGGGCTTTAGAGCTTTACGAGTAGCGCCAAAGTCCTCGTCCACATAGCTGAGCAACAGCTTGCACTGCGCAACCTGCTGCTTGAGCCGCTTCTGCTCCTTCGACCTCTTCGCTTTTCCAAGCTGCCGCTTCAGCGTCTTCTTGACATGCGTCTTCAACTCGTCGTAATAGTGGAACAATGTGCGTGGATCCAGCTGGGGGGTGTCCTCGACAAGACTAACGCTTTTGCAGTCCTTCAACACGTCTTGGAGGGTTTTCCGCAGAGTCTTCGACTTGATGTCCACCCGAGTTTCGATATACTTACCTTGCCAGTCCAGACGCCGCCGCACCGTGAATATACAGTCAAACTCACCCTTCTGATCACTGCTGCTCTCGACAAGCTTCCAGTCGTGGATCTGCATGTCAAATACCTGGTCCACGCGCTTGAACTCTGGCCCCTTTTTACCCACTGCTTTCTCCACTTTGGGAATCGACACAGCCGCCGCGTCTACACAGGCCTGCTTTGCCTTGAGGCGCTGTAAAAGGCCACTGATCGTCGCCACTTGCGCCTCGAAGTCCTCTTCTACCACATGAACGTCTGGCGGGGAACCTGGCAATGGAATGACCTCGTCGTCGCTAGACAGTGATTCCGAAGACGACAAATAGTTGTCCTGTTTCTTCTTCGTCTTCCTACTGTTCCGCTTTGCCTTTGCCCTTGCCTTTTTTCGTTTGGCGCTTTGGTCCTCGGTGCCCAGGTCACTGCTGGACTCTGCTGATAGAGCTTCTGAGTCATCATCATCATCATCATCATCGTCGTCGTCGTCGTCGCTCGATCTGTGCACGCGCTTGCTCTTCTTACGCTCGATCTTGGTTCGTCGGGCTTTGCGTCGGCTTTTGGTGGCTGCCACTGCGTCCTCCGAATCAGAATCAGAACCAGATTCAGAGCAGTCGGCCGAGCTCTCGTCCTCATCAGTTGATTCGTGCTTCTTGCTCTTGTACTTCTTGCTCTTCATTCTCTCCTTGAGTTTCTCCTTTTGCTTCTGCTTCTTCTTCTTCCTGGCTTCTGCTTGTGCAATTGCCGCTCTAATCTTCCTCAGCCTCTTTTTCTCCTTGAGTTTCTGGTCTTCGCTACTTTGTTCAGAATCGCTTGAGCTCTCAGTGCTGCTAGTCTCGGATGCGGAGCTGTCGTCCACTTGACGTTTGGATTTGTGCAACGGCCTGCCCTTACGAGGTGTCTTCTTGCCAGCTCCACGTTCCGCCTTTGCGTCGTCTGTTGTTGGTCCGACACCCAACTTATGCTTTTCTTCATCTTGTGGTGGTGTGTTGCACGTCTGAGTCGCTACGCTCTCCTGCAAAGCCTCCATCTCTTGCTCACGTAGTGCCATGGCTTCGGGTTCAGAGACCATAGAAGGAGTAAAAATAACGACCGGAAGTGATGAAGATGTATCTGATGACTCGTTGTTTGCTCGACAAGCCAAAGTGCAGTCAACCGCCAACGTGCCAGAACTGTCTAGACTGTTCATGAGCTCCAAACACCCATCACAGGTTTGATCCAATGCACACTATCCCAACGACTTATCAAGCGTTCAGAGCAAACTAGGACGAAAAAGGTGTTTGGAATGAGATAGTCCCACCAAGGACAATGGAGCAGCGCTGTCTATCCTAACCACCTTTTTATCCCCAGACAGAGCCGCAAGTACTGCTTGGCCAGGCACTTCACACTCCTGCAACTAGACAACGCCCAGTCCTCATTTAGACAAAACCAAGCATTTCGCTGCATTCCTTGTACACCCACTCCAGCGAATCCTCTTGGCTCCGCAGCTTACAGTAACAACGGCTAAACATGTTGAGGCAACCACTAAGCCTGACCTCAACCCTTTGCTGAGGGTCTTATGAAACGCAAGTAAACGTTTCTGCGGGGTATTGGCTGCCCTGTCTCACAGCCTTCCTTTGCTTGACCGGACGCAACCCATTCTCCTCGCATTGAACCTGACAGAGTAGCCGTATTAATATCCTTTATGATTCTCGTACCGGAGGGGCGCCACGTTCCTACCACATGCACACATCTTGTCGTGGCCACATTCCACAATCAGGTTTTTGTGTAGCAGTTTCTATGCATGCTGCTGCGGTGCGCTCCTTCGCCATCGTGTGCTGTCATCAGTGGCCAGACGGCCCTCTGCTATGTTTTTTTTTTCACGAGGGAGAAATCCAGATTTGGTGCGCTAGCTGCGACGAACGACATATCGAGATGCTTTAGCGATAAGCGTACAGCATTCGCCTCACTCCTCCAACCCCTCGCCACCAAGCTCGCATATTCTCTACCGTTTACCAACCTCTAGTGCTCGGACAAGGAAAATTGAAGCCAGACGACAACATGTGCTCAGGGGGGCCAACAAAGCAGGAGTTACACCGATTGACAATGTAAAAGCAGGTGGATGTATCTGAAACAGCAAGGCAATCGTCCATGCCACGAACCAAACAGCGATATAGTGAAGCTTCGGTAAATACACGCGCGTGGCCCCCCTCCAACGCCACATGGATGCCAGAGCACCCATGCAACGTGTACAGGACATGCTTTGTAACAAAGGCTGCGATACCAAGACCAGACGCCAATCACACAAATCCCCCCAGAAAGCCCTCATGCAAGTTGACCCCCCCCTTCCTCCTCCCTCCCTGAACGCCCCGCAATGCCCCAAGCTAAGCACATGGCCTTTTGCAGAGCCATGCACGCCCCCTCAGTACCGTTGGTGCAATGGGTTCTGGTGCTCACGAACTCGTCTTGTTCTTTCCAAAGGCCAAATGCCCTAACCCGTGCTCTTTCGCATCCTTCATCTCGCTCTCGGGCTTGCCGTCGGGAAGCTCCCCAGTCGAGACTGCACCAGAAATGTGGTACTTGATGTCCTTTGCCACCTCGCTAACAACACTTGTGTGATGCGACGCACTACCTTGGTCTAGAGGCTCCGACTTGCTCGTTGTGGTGTTGCCGCTGCTGCTTTGAATCTGGCTCGGCAGTGTGGAATCTGTAAGTGCTGTCGCTGGCCCGCTCTCTTCTGCGTTGGCGGATGTTTTTGAGTCGCTGGGCTCGGCAACAACTTCCTCGCCATTGAGACCGTGAGAACGTACATCCTTGGTATCGCTGTCATCACTGTCTCTGCGACCAGGAGCGCTGATAATGGTCTCATTCCTTTTGTTTTCGCTTCTGACGCTGTTTGCCCGGCTAATGTCGGATTGAGTGTTGGTTGGACTTGCTCTGCGGACACCGAGGTCTTTGCCTTCGGACGGCTCTACGCCGTGCGTGCCTCTCCAATCCGCAGGTTGCGCCTGTCGCACAGGCTCGCCTTCCTTTGGTTCTGTGATCAATACACCAGGCCGACCTTCATTGGCCGACAGAGCACGCCATACCACGGCTATTCGTTCAAAAGCCTGGGTACCTTTCCGAGACGAGCCTTTGATGCCGTCCATGGCATCCCATGAAATCTCGAAAATGCCAGATTCGTCTGCGTTGCCCTTTTGCTCCGGGCCATTGCCCTCAAAGTACGTGTTGAACCAAACGTGAGCGACAGCCGTGACCATGGTGAGATCAAAGGCGGCCTTGTTGCGGCGCTCGACATCGATGTTGATGTCGTTGGTGGGAAGGACTACACGCTTCGAAGGGCGAAAGACGACGTCGCCTGTGCCTAGCGGGAGGCTCTCGCTTGAGATCTTTCGCTCAGCGGCCGTGCCGTCATTGTTGCTCTGTTGTTCCAAAGACAAGGTACTGCTGTTCTTAGAGCCTTCGTTCGTCTTTGAAGGACCGAAGCCATTCTTATACATGACCTCTTGAACGGCCTGTGCCATGCCCGTCGTCTTGACCTCGCCGCGCACAATCTCGCGCTCATCCCGGGTAAATGTGTGAAAATTCTTGATAAGTTTGCCGTCCTCGACAAAGCCTTCTATCTGGATCTTGACGCCGTCTCTGAGTCCCCAGCAGTGCACTTCGAGAACCTCGACCTGGCGCTCGACGTAGATCTTGTCATGCTTGGTCCAGCGGTCAACGTAGCCTACCCAGCGCAATTGGCTGGGTATGCTGACGCCTTTGCCCATGTTGGGGCGCATGCGCCTCTCAGTGAAGCGGTCGAGCGCCTTTTGCATTGGCCAGCCTTCTTCGCTGATGAGATAACTGCAACTTGCTGTGCCGGATCGACCCTTGCCAGCTTTGCAGTGGACCACAACGACACGGCCTTTCTTCTCATGCAGCCAGTTGCGCATGCTTGCCATGATGTTGGGTATGAGGGCGAAAGGTGGAGGGTGGTGGTCCGGGAAGGGGTAGTGGTAGACGCGATTGTATACCTCTGAGTCTGGGTAGCCTGTGCCTTCTGCGCGAAACTCCCATATGGCCCAGTCGTCGCCATGCTTGGAGTCGAGAAACTTGACGAGCGAGTCGAGCGGGTTGCGATAGGCACGCTGGGGATATGTGCCACTGGGGCCCGAAGTGGCGATGACTGCAAGAAGAGGTCAGCGCATGAAGAGTGAAGACAGTGGTCTTGTGGCGAGTGTACTGTTGTCGGTTACATAGCATAGGTCGAGGCCGGCCTCGGGATGCCTGGCGCGAGGGCCGGCGACGAGCTGTCGCAGGAGCGACGCCTAGGCAGGACAGTCAGTTATCGTTGTCGCAAGCAGTTGCAGTGGGTGCATGGTTGCATGCATGCCAGACGTACCATAGCTAAGGCGAGAGAGGAGTGTATGCGAAAAGAAAGTCAGCTTGGCACATTGCGAGACTCGCAACCGTGGGATGCAGGCGGGCACACACGCGACGGCAAGGTGGTACGTCACCCTGGGCTGCTCCCTGCCTGCTAGTACTATTCATACCACTACATAGTATGTGCACACGTACATGCGACTATCTGTCCAAGTACATGGTACAAATCTGCCTAGCAGTAGTGTACTTACACATGTGCATTCATACATGTACTAGCTCCAAATCATCACCATCCAGTCCCTCTCTCTGCAACCGCCACCAGTATGGACATGTGCTTGGGCCATGCGATTGGCGCAATGCCGCCCCAGACGAAGCCACGGTCATATAGGCTGACATTGTTACGTACTACTTGTACGACGCCAAACACGATACCATCCTCACCAAGACGCCTCATCCAAACGGCGCATGGCAATAGTTTGTTTTCCGGTCAGACCAACACAGGACGCATTCGTAGGAGCAAGCAGAGAGACGACGCTTGATGGAGCAATGCCGGCACGCCGGTGCACCGGCTGACTTGACAGATCGGAAGCAGGTGGCCACGGGCTGACAAGCAGGGCATGTTCTGGGGCACGTTCCGCCAGCCAAGTTCAGAGTGGCCATACTTGTGAGTGATGTGGTGGAACAAGACAAGATGCAAAGCGACCATGGGACGGTGGCGCAACAAAAGGCATCCACCCACACCTTCTCCTATCCAGCCACGTGGCTGAGGGCTTACATAATCACCTCAGCCTCCGAGGGCGAGCATTGGTCCTTTACGAAGAAGCAACTGTCCGCACCCTAACCCTCACCGCGACCATGACAGAGAAACGCGTTGCAAAGCGCAAGACGCACACAAAATCCCGAAAGGGATGCTTCCAGTGCAAGCAACGCCACACAAAAGTAGGTGCGAAGCCCGACGCCCGTCCCAGCCCTGCCCGGCCAATCAGCAACTCTTGCTCAAAACTTTCCCAATCTCCAGACATGATGCCCGACGCAAATCCTCGTGTCTGCTCATGACATGGCCAGACTGCACTGCCTGCCGCACCTCAGTTTCACGCCCTTTTGCTTACCCTCTGTTGTAGTGCAACGAAGCGCGACCACGCTGCGCAAACTGCGTTCGCTTGGACATTCATTGTACATTCCCAACCATACCAGACAGCTACACCTCACCCTCCCAGCACAGTTCTGGCGTCAGCTCATCCTATGGCGAGCCTGGCCTTCCCGAGAGCCCCGACGCACCTCACAGCCACACTGGTTCCGATCTACCCCTTGCCGACCTGCAATTACTGCACCACTGGATCAAGTCATGTGCCAAATCACTGCATCCCAACCCTTCTCCACGGAGCAGTGCTTGGCAGATCGAGTTTGTAGAACTGGGCTTCGAATTCCCCTTCCTCCTGCGTGGCTTCCTAGCCCTGTCTGCAATCCACCAAGCATTTCTCCTTGCACCCAACGATCGACAGCCCTTTTTGCTCCAGGCAGACTCCCATATCAGCCGAGCATTGGACACGTATAGGAAAAATCTCCAAAATCCGGACGTGAAGCTAGCCTTGCCCATGTTCATGTTTTCTTCTGTAATCTTCATGTACAACTTCGGCTCGGCACATCTTCAGCAGCCCGAAGATCCGATTGCCGCACTTCACCACTGCTTCATGCTGCTGCAAGGCATCAAGGTTGTCGTCATGCCCCATTGGAATCAAATCAAAGACACCGCGTTCGTTGCACACATGACTGACTATCATTCTGAGGACCTTTTAAAGGGTCTGGATAATCTGGCGAGCCAGGATAAACCCCAAGAAATCCTGCGCTTGAAGGAGCTTACCGAATTACTACTAGACAGCCAGGACAAGGAGGCTTGTACGGCTGGCATTGACGAACTCCACACCACATGGCTCCGCTTCCGGCACCTGCCTATAGACCGCGATGAGTACTCTCTGCTATTTTACTGGCCCTCCATGTTGGAAAGTCGATTCCTCGAACTCCTCGCTGCTCATAATCCTGTGACATGCATCATCACCACCCACTTTGTCGCCATGTTGGCTCAAAGCCGCCCTGTGTGGTGGCTTGGCAAATGGCCCCAGTGGTTACTCTCAGCCTCAGAACAGTTGTTGGCAGCAACCCCCGATCTCCTCAAATGGCTAGAGTGGCCACGGGAAATGATTTGTCCACAGACTTGGAGCCCAAGTACCACGTTAGGCGGTTGACAAATTATTTGATTCGCAACTACTGAGACCACTGCAGTGCAAGGGCCTCGGGGTTATCATTGCGCATATGTATACACGCATTATCTGGTGAACGGTGAACATCACCAAAACAATACGAAAAGCCATCGATTGGCAAGATACTACAGAACCACAACCTGTGGGTTCAAATGATGGAAGCACCGAATTCACCTCGCCAAGGCAGTCCCGACCTACACACCCCATACGCACGCTAGCTTGAAAGCCATGGCGGATTGAGTATCGTCTGGATCTTAATGGCGATCGGATTCTTCATGGCGCCCCCCCCCTGGAATGACAAGATCATATCATTGGCTCCTCATAACTTCTCTCTGTAATGGCCTTTGTAAATGCATTGGGTCTCGTAGTGTTATATCTGACGTACCTAAGAGAGTATCTGGTAATTGTCATGATTTTTTGTCATTACAAGAAGCACTTGGAAGAATTGTTGCTCCTTGCTTCTTTTCACCGCCAACAATTCATCTCATCAAATCACATCTCAGTTACAACATGTGGGTAGTCGACGCTTGACAAGCCGCTCTGTATAGATCTCCTTGCAGCTCTGTTCTCCTTGTTTGGAAAAACCGCTTGAAGCCGGAGAGATCTGCAAACAACATAGATTTGTAATACAAAGGTATTTATAGAAGTACTGAGGCGAAGAAAACCACCAAGGACTCTTTCTCAGATCGAAATGCCGTGATTTTGTCAAGTTATATTACAATGGATCGTCGACCCTGATTCTACTCAGGGGCCAACTAACGTCCCCAAACAACATCAACGTTTCATAGCCATCCCAAGCATCCATGTCTTTTTGTTTTCATACATAGTCATGTCGCGTCACTCATGTTATCCCAACGGTAACCCAGCCAAGTTATGACATGTTATCCCACCTCCCTATACTTGCGTTTTGACTGAACGAAATAAAGAAAAAAAAAGAAAAGATACGACATGGTGATCCAAGACAGGGCTGTCTGATCAAAATGACGCTCGGTAGTCTCGTGAGGAAGCTAAGCGACTTGCTTCCATCTGCAGGTACTGTGCTATCCTCTGGTCGGGACAATGGGCATGTTGGCCAAGCAGGTCCTTGAGAGCCCGCACCTCAGCCTGCAGCATGTCTACCTCTGCCTTTAACATTCGGTTCTTGCGCTCATACTGCCTCGACCTTTCGACAAGCTGTTCTTGCTCGTGTTTTTGTTTACTCCGACACTTGCTTGCAGCCCGGCGGTTCTTCTCGAGGTAGATGGCCCGCGCCGAGCCTGGTTCTACGTACTCTGAGTTACGCCTTCGCCGAGTACTCCCCATTGTCGTTGTCGTCGTTGTTGGTGTTGTTGTTGTGTTGGTGGCGGTAGAGGGCCGCCTTGAGGGTGTCTCGTCACCTGGAGGGTATAGACTGCCACCCTCCTTAGGGTACAGGCTGTCTCGGCGAGAGGGTACGGGGAAGCTGACTGGTGATGCCGAGTTGCTGGTATCAAAGTGAGACTGCGATGGAGAGATAGTCGAGGTGCTGTCATAGTATCCAGTAGTTCGGTTGGCGGGCGTAAAAGTGGGGGTTGAAAGAGCGACTGGGTTGATGCTTGGTGTCGACGTCGGGTCTGCGTTGGTGTGTGGTTGTGAAACAAATGAGTGTTGTGTGTTCTGGGGCTGCACTATCGACAGAGAAGACGAGCTCCAGTCATGGACAGGTGCCTGTCTAGGGTTCTCGTGTTGCGAGGCGTGGATATCGTAGTTGGTCGGTTCTGTCGCTCCGGTGGGGCTGAAGGTACTACTACTAAAAAAGCTCCCGTAACCTGACGGCAGTCCCGAGATTCGAGCATATGGATCTGGTTCCCCGAACGAATTGCTATGTGGAAACATGACAGTAGTCGTCATTTCGACTGTACGAGACTGGCTCGGATCAAGTCTATGCGAAGGTAACGCTGGCAGATGGGGAGGAGTGAAAACGGGCTTGATATGTTGTGTGCAAGGATTCAAGAATCAATGACAGCCTGTGTAGATAACACAATTACGAGGGTGTTGGTGGAGCGAATGATGGCCGGCTGTGTGGCATGCTTCCCCCTTGGATGTTGGAGGATAGGGCAAAGGCAATTTAAGGTCTGTATTGTGGACAAGATGGTTGCCGTTGCAGCTGGAAGCTTCGTCATCCCAAGAGGGACCCATCTGTTCACCTACGGTCAGGGTTGGCCCCGACCGTGGGCGCCAGATTCTAAGGAGCGACCTTTGTCCTGGGCGCATGTGGGCTGCAGGTGTGGTTGGGGCCTTGCTAGCAATAGCCGAGGGCGCGTTGAGTTGAGGCCAGCCAACGGGTGGACTGGTACGCCAGCCAACGGTTTACTTGGGCGACGAATTATCACGAGGGGGTGCGGAAGATTTGCCCGTGCATGATCAGCAATAGACAGTGGGTTCATGGCGGATACGGTTGCGTTGACCGTGGCCAATCATGGAGCGATCGCATGGCGTGCAGGCGCAAACAGAAAGGTGCTGAGGTGGATTGGCACCGCATTGTGCTCGCGCGGCTTGGGTGGTTGCTGACGGGGCCAGTTGTGGCATCTGGTCAAGGTGAAAGGAGACGGACATACAGTGTCGTCGGGAGTGGACAATGGCAGGGCAGCCAAAGCGAAGCGGCGAGACGCCGGTCAGTTTGCTAAGAAAGGGAACATTGTCAAGGGCAATGGAGTGCAGCCAGCTTCCCCGCCACTACTGCTGCTGGTGACTAGCGCCGTGGATACGGACGGGTCCGTTGATTGTGCCCTAAACCACTTTGCCTCTTGGCTTCTGGATGCTGCTGCAGCACATCCAACCTACACAGTACGCGGCCGTCTTTGGCCCAATGCAGCGGCGCAAACAGCCACCAGTAGGATCGCCTGCCTCCAACCTTGCCAGCATGCGTTCGACGGATACGGCCATGGGGCCAGAAAGCCACATCTGACGCGTGCTGAACGACAGCGGCTCCCCAGACGACACAGGCGGCTTTCCAGTACTCTACGTACGTAGTATGTCGTTTCTTTTTTCTTTGCCGCACATACCGCCCGTTTCCCATCAGAGCAAAGCCTCGCTCCAAAAGGCAGAGGCCAAAACGGGCCTGTGCCCATCTCGTGTGCAGTACCCGTACCCGTACCTGGACTCTACTTACTTGCACAGCCCGCCAGACTGCGACTGTGGCGCCTCTACAGGCCTCCTCGTCAACATGACTCAACCTCATCGCCCTGTGGAAGCTGGCGATCCACATTTTTCAAATTTCGCAGGATGCAATGAGCAATGGATACTTCAGCCGGTGCCTCATGCCGAGCCGCAAAACTGGCAGCCCACTGCCGCTCCTCGGAGTGATGGCCATTATCAGCTCCATGTCGGTCAGAGTTGGCCGTTCCAATGAACTTGGGCGAAGCCTCCATCGTCACCGCTCCGCCATTTTCTAACCCGATAAAGGGATTTCTTCTTGCAGCATCTTTGGCACCCTGGGGTGGCATACCAGTAGGGTCCGCCTTTTTCGCTTGCACACTTGCGCCTTTGCCCTCCAAAACTCAACACCACCAGCCCATGGAAAGTCGTGTATCTCTGCAGTCAATGCTTTCCAATCTTCAGCTGCGTTCCGGTTACCCTAATTTGTCTCTGGAGCCCTGGTGCCAAGATATTACATCCTGGTCAATAGAGGAGACCTTTTTCTCCGCGGCACGGTAAGACCACACAGACAAAAGCGGCACCAAGGTTCCATGCTTAACTCTCACACCGCAGGGTTTGGTTGCCTGGTTCGCTACCGATCAAGATAACAGTTTCTGGGGTCTGGAAGTACTGCTAGGCTTCGCAACACACACTGGCTCACCACCAAATACCGTCGTCGCGCCTTGGTACCAGCATTAATCGTCCAAGCATGTGACTGGGGTCAGCTTCATGCTTTGGGTACCTGTTCATTGCAACTAGCCATTTACCTTCTTCAGCACCGATCCTCGGCCTTTTCCGAACACTCAACCCAAATGTTTCCACTCATGCCATTATCCGGTTGCTTTTGCAAGGTTCTGTAGATAGGTAACACGTTCGCTACTACTGTGCTCGTCTTTTTGATGGGTTGAATTTAGCATGTCTTGAGCAAGAAAGAGAAGTCCATCTTACCTGCATCTGTTCAGCGAGCCCCAGTTTCGATGTCAGTGACCCGAAAGCTATGTTTCTTCGGCTTTGGTGTTTCGCATACCGCAAAGTAGCTCTGTCTGTACAATAAGTCGCCAATAGAAGGGTGGGGTAGTAACCGAAAGTATTGTGGACGACGCAGCCACATCTCTGGGCAGCCTTATTGGACCAGAGACTCTGTGATAATGGCTGGACGGTGCCCCGGAACGTCCTGGAGCGCAACTTAGAACCCAGTGCCACGTGGAATAGATGCTACAACTAACTAGTTAAGGCTAGACTGGAACCTAAAGGTCTTCGTCGTTTATGGTCCAGTTGGGGACATACGAGCGCAACCACACAACCGGGTAGCTATGTGTTACATTGCTCCCCATTCTCGTATCCCTTCCTTCCGTCTTTGTGTTTATTCGGTGATCAGCGACGCAAAATTTTATCAAGTACAGACGGTCAGCCCACTTGTGCGTAGCTGGCCTGGATGGTTGGATGGTCTGTGAGCAAATTTGGAGAGGTATGCTACACCCCGGATTCCAGGGGAGTCCTGGGAACGCAATGACGCCACAATCCTCGATAAAGAAATCAGGCAAGCAGCAAACAAAAGTTTCATCTGCGAGTTGAGAGTTTCATGGACCACAATTAAAGGTACACTGATATCGGCTGACACCTTCAAGTGCACAACGCGGATATGATTTTCCGTGGCGGCTGATCAACTCCGCTGTGTCTCCGCTTCGAATGACGCCAACAAATACAAGAGCGCAACCAAGACGACCGTATGTGAGACAACTCAATACCTCTCAACCAAATCGAAGAATAAGGAACTCAGTTGTGATGCGTGTCGTTGTATTTGGAGCTTCCGGCGTTCAGGGCCGCCATCAAGTCCACGTCCTCGCGCAAGCAGACCATTCCGTGGTTGCGGTCAGTCGCAACCCTCAACCACTACAGATTGACAGAAAGCCTGTCGAAACGTTTGCTGCAGATTTTTCCAACAAAGCTGCACTTGAAAAGGCACTCCAAGGCGCAGACCGAGTGTTCCTCAACCTGCCATCAACTTCTTTCAACAAGTCCGAACCCATCATCGCCGCTGCACGAGACATTGGCGAAGCTGCGAAGAAAGCCAAGGTTCCCCTGATACTTTTCAATACCAGCATGCCGGTTCCCAAGCAGCCGCAAGATATCCAAGCACAGGATGATCGAAGAGTAATGAGATCCTTGTTACGGGAGCATGTCCCGGTAATCAGCATTGAGCCCGTGGTTTACCTTGACAATCTTCTTGAAGGCTGGGCTTTGCCTCCAATCCGCGACCGACAGACCGTCGTCTACTGCCACAAGCCAGACCTTCGCGTATCATGGATCTGCCACCACGATGTTGCGCAAATCATGATGGCTGCCATGCATAGACCAGAACTTGCGGGACGCGACATTCCTATTGGAGGACCTGAAACGGTTGTACTTTCTCAGCTTACTGAGAAACTATCGAGAGCCTGGGGTAAAGAGCTGAGCTACGAAAACCAGACTGTGTCGGATTTTTGTGACAAGATTAGCAAGACGATGCAGGGAAGAGGGCTGGGAACGGAGACGGTTGTGAGCCAGATGTTCAAGGCTTATACATACTACAATGAGGCAGAAGATGAGCCGTTCAACATCGACATGAAGCCTATCATTAGTGAACTGGGTGTTAAGCTTACGCCGATTGAAGAGTGGGCTGAGAGAAGAAGTCCTTGGAATGACAAAGGTTACTACTAGAGATCGAGTTGAACCAGAAATTGGAATGGATTGTCATGAATCACTCTGACGTCACAGCTGGAATATATTATGACTTTGAGCTCATCGCTATACCTTAAGCGAGGGATAAGTAAGTCAATCCTACTCAAAGGTTTCGGCTATGAAATCGTGCCAAGTGCTAATCTACTTCAGGTTGCATCACAGGATGATATCGTATAATAGATGTGGACGTCCGATAGTTGCATACCCAGCATTGAAGAATCGTGAAAATTGACTTGCAAACTATTGTAGGTTACTTCTGAGTATTATTGTAGCTAACGTGCGGGATCAGTAAGCTGGAAAGATCAGTAAGCTGAACGCCCCACCCAACCTGACGCGACTGTCTGCACAA